CTTAGAATAACTTGTATTTTATAATTACGCATAGATTAGGTGCTTTGAGAACAATACTTAGGCAAACATTTGAACAGCCATTTACGAATTTTGTTTGAAATCGTCCAGCCACGCCCTTTGTAAATCACGTTCGCACGGATTGTTGAAAACATCCGACGAGCATACCCGATACTTTTAMCCYGTCCCCCCTCCCCCCGGGCCCTCCCTCTCCTGTCTCTCGCCTCCCTGTGTAGTCAGTGTCAGTTACAAGATATTAATTAAAGAATATTAACACTCAATATACTTCAATCACGTCCTTGAGACTTAAACAAACACTGGAAATATATATATATATATATCTTCAGATTCCATGGACCAGTCGGCACGAAAATTGCTGTGACTTGAATGGAACATCCTAGAAATATGTTCGTAAGAACTTAGCTTTGCATCAGTTATTTTATATACTGAGTTAAATTTGAAGACATTTCTATATCCAGAACAGAAGGATTGAGCTGTTGATCTCTAAGCACACTAATTTGAATATCAAAATGTCTGGTTCTCGAGGATAAGACAACAATATAATCTCATTCTTTACATTCTGTAAAAAGCAAGTAGACACATCTGATGTCTCTAAGTCAAAAAAACCTACATAAAAAGCAAGATTTTTAAATATTTACAACATTATGGTGCTATACCGATGTTGTATCTTCGTCAATTTTCTGTGTTTGACGTTTTCATGTGCTACCGTAATGAACAGATAGTTATATTTAGATGCTGACCCAAATTGAACCTACTAATTCTTCTAAAAAATGATTGACAAGTATGTGTCATGAAGAAGTCACGTGGTACACAATTGTTTTAAAAAGCGCTCTACTACCCCCTAATTTTTTTAATGTCACTTCGCGCATTTCGTGGGGTGTGGTACAATGTGCACGCGTGATCTTTTTTTTAGAAGCATGATTTTTGATTTTAAAATTCATCAAGGTTACAGAGAAGATAGAGATGAGCTTTACTTGTCGACCTGTTCTTTTAATACGACTGCGCACGCACTCAAAGACATGCAAGAAACTACTGCCAGAAAAGCCAGGATTAAATGGTGCTGGCCATTTAATTCAACGCGGTTTCCTTTTCAGAGCTCGGAGAAGTGCGTCTGCACCATCAAAAACTTCTTGCGCAATAATAATTTTTACGAAAGTTATATTAATTAGTTTGTAGTAAAAAGTAAGGTTATTCGCAGGTCAAGTTCTTTTGGCCTTTTTCAGCTCTGCCATGAGTGTTTCAGTCATGATCATTAGCGCGCGCACATGCCATCACAACAGGTGGACTGGGGTTCTAGCCATCCAATAATACAACCAAACTGTTTCTTAAAAAACACTCCAAAATGTCAACAGAAAAGGCAAACGCTCCTAGTGACATTACTAAAGATCCTTCCGCAGTAAAGGACTTAATAATTCCTCTCTCAGACTCGGTAGAAGAGAAAAAAGAAAATGACAAAACTCCCAAGCTTCGTATTTACCGTACGAGTGAAGTCATTGAACAAGATGGAATCTTAGAGCAAGCAATCTTTGTATTTCCGTCTGTTGTGAGTTTAAACGTCGGAGGATATCACTACCACTCGACGTCTTATACCTTGACGCAGTTCTCCGAGTCTAGGTTAGCGAAGATGTGTAATGGGATTATCCCTTTGGCGAAGGATCCTAGAGGTAACATCTTCATTGATCGAGATGGAGCGACGTTTCGATATATCTTGAGTTTCCTACGAAGCAGGAAGTTGAAGCTTCCTCTTAACTTTAAAGAATTTGATGAACTTGAAAGCGAAGCGGAATACTACGAGATCGAGCCATTGGTGGAAGCGCTAAAGAAAGAGAAATCAAAATACGTGAAACAGAATTTTAATCTTCGTTTAAGTTGCAGTAAAGAGGGCGCGGTTCTTGCTGGCGAGGTCAATAACCTTGTTAACATCATTCCTAACATTGAAAATCTCGGCGGAAGACTTAATACAGGTGAAGGGTTTGAGTTCTTGACTGGGGACAAGGTAACCAAAGGTGCGCAGATGGAGTTTCCGTTAAAATCCTCTCAAGTTGATGCTCTGGTCCAACATATATTGAAATGTGGTTATGAAATCAAAGGGACGCATTTTGCGTTCGACGATAGTGAGAAACAAACTTGGATTTTTGAAAAAAAGAATATTTGAAGCATTAATGTGAATGACTGGGCATGGAATGAGATGACAGCTGAACAACGTAACGTAGATCGAAACATGTGGCAAGCATAAAGCGGTTTAGTATGAGTAGAAAACGAAACGGCTAGTCCGCAGCTGTACCGTATTTTACCGTAACCGTAACTACGTGTTTTGATTGGATGAATTACTGGAATGTGAAGCCAATTCAATGTTACGGCATGTTATGCGTGCTGTAATTACATACTGGTCTTGGCAAAGACATCGCGATATAGGGTGGAATTTTTGACGAATCCTTTCAAAATTAACCGAACAAGTTACGATATGGGGCAGTCCCCATGTAAGACATGATCAAAACCAGATAAGAGGTTGCTTACTCAATGAGGGACTTAGTTGTAAGAACTACTCAGGTTTAACTGTGTCTGATGGGGTGGGGAAGGGCAAAGAGAGACAAATGGAATGGAACTCTTACAGTATTTTCTCCTCCAGACCTATTTATCTTGGGTGCAACCCATCCAAAACCATGTGTCATTTTCATTTCATTTTCAATGTCTGTATTTATACTGAATAAGTAAGTCATTTACAGTGGCCATCTTGAATTATTGAATGTTAAGGGGCAAACGTCGAAAATTTATAAAGCACAGAGTGGCAGTTGCCCCCTTAGCATCCCATGATGACTCATTGTGTAGTTCCAGAAATCATCCATACCCACCCCACAGAGGAATTTGGAATTTCCGAAGAGTAGGGGGGTCAGAGAAAGAACAAAAATTACAGATTTTGTATGGAAGAAAATTGGAATTTCTGGGGGGGTAGGGTAGGGGGTGTCTTACAAAGATTCCTCCGTGAGGGGGGTATGGATAATTTTTGGGACTGCACATTCAAAAATAGAATTCAAGATGGCCGCCACATTGGTAAAAATTCATGATAAAAAAAGAGGAGACATTACCAAGAATAAAACAGAAAACGATTCTATATTCATATAATTACCAAAAAGTGGTTTCAAAGTAGTCGTCATTTATAATAGAAAACCCTAAAACCACTCTATTGTAAGATACACCTAGCATTCTCATTCTGAAAAGGTTACAATACTGCATGAAAATGAGGCTTCCAGGGCAACTTAATATAGAGGTTTTACATGCTGTCACTTGATCAAGCAAAACCTCTACCAATTGGCCACATTCAATATCTTAAAATTCATACTTGATTGCGAGGCTTTAGTCGTATGGTACTTCATGTATGTTACAAGCACATGGATCACCAAATACATTTATTGGTGGGAATAAAATAATGTACCATACATGACTTTCCTTCCCTTTCGCACTGAATAATAAGAAAATTTTGGTAATAATTTTAGTCAGTTCACTACTCGACAAATCTATCTTATGATAATACACTTAACAAAATTACTCGATTCTGATTGCACAGAGGAGTACAATTAAATCCCAAATTGTACTGACTGTAGAGTCCAATTTAAGTTGCTCAGTTTTGTTGAGTGTATTTTAAACAAAAAATCGCACAATCTTCTCAAACAATTCAGAATTTATACACTCGTGATGTTTTGAAAGGTCTCACTCTTTCAAAACATCACTCGTACCTATAAATTCCAAATTGTACTAAAGATCGTGCGATTTCCTTTACTAATTGAATCTAAATTATACAATTTTAATATGTTGAAAGTGGTCAATGGAATCTCTCATTTCTATTCTTAAAATTTCACATTTTAATAGTTTTAAATTTTTCTCTTGATCAAAAATACCAATTCTTAGCTCTGCCCTAGAAGCCTCATTCTCATGCATTATAACCAACACTTTAGAATCTGGCCTATATCTAACCTCTATTTTCTACAGTCACAGATTTTGGACCACAAAATACTGGTCACAATGATATACAATATTAATAGTTACAAGATCTAACTATACATGTGGAAAAAGTGCACTAATGACATTACCCCCTCCCCTCCCCCCCCAAGTTTTTGTCATTCTGTCCAAGAATGACATATTATCCTCAATCTCTCCTCCCTTATTACAAAATCTTTGCTGCCCTTAAAAATACATTCCTAGACAACCTCTCATTCATGTGAAAAAATGGCATTTAAAAATGGGTAGTTATTCATTATATAAAAATACAAGCTGTTTTATGTTCACTTTTGTTATAAGCTTACAGTAAATATCTTATGCAATATTTTTGTAATCAAATGGACTGCATTTTAATTGCAACTGGAAAATGGCATCAATAAAGGCTTTGCACCACCACGTGATGGCAGCCATGACAGAAAACACAAAATAGTCTTTTTCCCTTGGGAAACTGAATTCTTCCTCATGTAAAAACCAGATTTAATTGTTCCTGCCTCCTGTCATGGGTGCCATCACGATAGAGTAAACCATCTATATACAGAATGCAGCATCTGAATAATGCAGTTATTATGAAAGTGAAGCCTTCCTAGAGCATATCAGTAAAAATTTGCTATACCTAAGAATGCAAGCCTGAATTTTATCAAGTTTATAGCAGCTTTTACTCTTTCTAGTATCTTAGAAATACAAATTTGTCCAATGAAAAAAGCCTCTTGGGCATCAACAGGTACTGGGTATCACCAAGAATTTAAAAATTTGATTCGAAAAGGCACCTAAAAATTTCAAATTCTCATGGTTCTTTTCATTTGTGTTTTTTTAATGTGGAAAATACTATTTGTAACGGTAGGAAAATATTGTTTGTAAATTTTCGAGTTTAGGAAAGTGTTTTCTTTAAAGTGGTCAAATTTGGGTCAAATCCACAAAAATCTTTCCACATTGTGAGATGTAAAAAGCAGCAGATTTATATATTTTTTACTATTTGCTGTTGAATTGTTGGAAAGCCTTCAATTTTTATCAACACCCTGGGACTTTGGGGCTGATCAAAGTCAGGGCATGGCTGGCACACGGATTGGACCTTAAAACGACCTTTGGGCTGATCAAAGTCAGGGCATGGCTGGCACACGGATT